AAGTAATCTGCTTTTCCCCCACAAGATGGTCCAAATCTCATGTGAAATCTCTGACTTTTGTGTTGGTGCCTCCTGGTGGACTATGTGGAAAATGCCAGAATTCATATGATGCTGCTACAGCTGATATATACTGTGTTTGTTGTCAAAATACCTTTCAGTACATATGTTGTTAAAATAAAATGAACAGTCCAATGATCATTTTACTGATATACAGTATATAAAGACTGCAAAGGCTGAAAAATCTTGAAGTCTGTATGAAATTGGAGGTAGTTTGAGGATTAGATTTTTTATGCTTTTTAAGCTAAAAAAACAGTGGTTGTATTATACATGAGATCGTATAATACACGAATAAATACGGTAGTTCTTATTCACACAATTGTCGCTGATAAAGTCTAGAAATAACCACCAAGTGATCCTCTGAAGGAGCCATGCCAAAGTAATGCTCTAATAAAAGCTCTGAAAAGACTATTTTAGCCTACATCACACTTGAAGTCTTCCTCTTCTCCTTTGTTTTCCCTCTTTTCTGCGACCCCAGGCGTCTCACAGAGTAAACAGCGGCGGCCCTCCCGTATCAGGCCCGTGGCATCGCTGCAGCGTGCCCCCCCCCCCTCCCTGCAGTGAGCAGGAAAGGGAGATTACTCTGTTGCTCACATCAAAGGAGGTTTGTCTAAGTTGGGTCTGGGGTTGTACTGGTGGAGCGGACCCTCGGAGCTGCCTCGCTCGCTCTTATCTCCCCTCCACAGACTCCCTCTGCTTTCTGCTGCAGCACAGCTGGCTCCTGGTAACACTGACGCATGGATTTGTGGCCCCGCACGGTCCGACGTGCACGCAGACAAACATCGGCTCGCATTCTCTCATATGAAAACACACAAAGACGCACACAACAGTGAGGCAGCTCTTTATCCCGGCCCCCCCTCCTGATACGAGAAGAATTTGTTCTGCTGAGCGAGTCTCTGCTGAGAGGTGAACCTGCTTCAGTGAATATGTAAAACAGATTAATGSAAACGGATTATTCCAAGACAGATGCTCGCAAAAGGAACTCCCTACATGCGGATAAGATGTTAAAYATTTGAGCCTCTCTGGGTGTTACCAATAGCACCTTTAAAGTTAAGAAATATCCCCATTAAAAACGCCTGCAAATATTACTGCATATTTATTGAAAAAAGATAAAAACTGAACATAAAACTGTTCAAAATTTCAGGATCCAAWCTTTAACTTGGTTAAACTGATGCCAACTCTCATATGGAAGTTGTTTTATTAAGACTTGATGCCAAAAATAGGTGATATTTTTTTTCCCATGTCTGCGTGTTCAAATACATGTCTGTTAGCAAAACACCTCTTWAATCGTTAGGCAGATTTTAATGACATTTTTATTAAGTAATCACTGAATCTAAATCTACAGCTGAGTGAAGTTTGGAGTCCATTCTAKTTAAAGTGGACATATGCTTTTAAATCCTTCCTTTTCACATTTAAATCATTCAGTTGGGGTCTTTATAAAGCGGAACTGATGCTTTGGTCTGAATTCCTCCTTATTCTAACTTCTCCAGCCCCTCTTTTACCCMMTTTCTGGAGAAGGGGTTATCTGCAGAATCAAAGTGGGAGTGTCCCAAGAGTGGGCGTGTCTAAACCATAAACACTGTGAGCTACGAGGCCTACATGACGGTATCCTTATGGTGCGTTCACACCGAACGCGATTTCAGTGTCAAAATCACAGCCAACGCTGAAGTTTGAAGCTTGTGCACTTTGAGGTCAGACGCAGGACAGCTGCGCTGCACGGCAGAGTCTCCCCGCCCCTCCTCTGTGGGGCTGTTTAATGTCGGACGAGGAAGTGGCTTTGCTTTATTTACAGAGAGCCAGAGCA